ATGCAAAAGTATACACGATACCTTGAGTTTTCTTGGAGGTGTGGTTCAAAAAGAAATCTTGACAACTCTAGGAAATCACATTCACATGTTGCACCAAGCTCCCATTCCTGCAGGAATTGTTTCAGTGTTAAGCAATTGCTAGCATTTTATTATTGCTCTTTAACATCATGCACGAAAATGGTCAGTTTGCAGCCTTGGAAAAGGTCTTATGGACAAAACCAAAATTAATATGGAGGTCAAGGATAACACAGTTCTTTATTTGATGCTTTCCTTTGTTATATTTTGAAAATACAAATGAAAAGATAAGGTAAAGGACGAAAAGTTGCAGCAACAAGTCCGTAGACCTTGATTGTCCGAAGACCCTGGGTGGGCATGATCTAAGTGAGCCTGAGGCCTCCAGAGAGCTCTGGGGTTAAATCCCACCCACCAGAGATCCTGCCATTTCCTTTAACAGAGACTGAATTTCATCCAGTGCAACTTTGGGACAACAGAGGACTCTGCACAACCCAAGTGTATAAAACTGGAGTTGCTGAGTTAGTGAGCTCACATGCACCTCGCTGACTCCCTGCATGGCAATCATAGGCACAGCATGCACAGAAGGAGGAGGGCTCTTTACCATCCTTTTATTTCTAACATTTAAGATCATCTCAGACTGATGGGGTCACAGAAGGTGCCACTTGCTGGAATGAGAAAGGTTTAGTCACACCTCTGTAGGCCACGCTGATGTACTAGTATTTTGGCAAGGCTTTTGAAGCAGGCTCAACAGCACAGCAATTGCACTGAGCCAGCTTATTTCAGCTGCGCCAGCTCCAGATGAGTCTTTAATGTAAGCTGAGTTCAACCAAGGGCTACTGACAAGAGCTGGTCAGAAAAATGGCTTTCTTTTAAATTCAGATAATGGCAGCTTTTCGGTATCCATGAGGAAATTGAAGTCTGACCTGGAAATACTGCTGAAGCAGTTGTTGCAGGTTATACCAAGTACCTCCTGTCCCTATTCTGCTTTATGAGTTGAATGACTACCTTGTTTTGGTGATGCTAATTAGGTACTATGGCTGTGATGCCGGAAGAGAGATTAAGTAGCATTAGAGCACTTGGACATGGAGGAAAGTGAGCATAAGATGCTGCTGAAAGACAACACCCATTAATTATAAAATAATTAGATTTACAACAGGTCATGCAGACATGGCTTTTTTTCCTAATGTTTTTAGCTGAGAGGTAAGCAGGCTAGAAAAATATATTCAGATAAAATGGAAAAAGGAAAGGAACCTCAGCCCTGAGGGGGCCCCCTCGCCCTGCCCCATGGCTGCCCACTTCAGGGTGGAGGGGTGTCCTTGGCACTGTGCTACCCACCATGTCCCCTTCTGACATGCACTCTTGGGAACCAGCCTGGAGGTTCCCACTGGCCCATTTCAAAGCTGTCCCTGTGAAAGCCCAGCCATGCTCATCTGGGCCGAAGCTGATCTCTGACCTTCACTCAGCGCCGCTTGGTTTCCTCTGATAGCGGGGTGAATGATTGCCAGCAGTGGTAAATGATTTACTTCACGTAAAGCACTGTCTACTGGAGGAGCATATCCTGCATTATGCTGCGGAGAAAAAATATTGCTATATCAAATTATTTACATAATAAATAATTAAAGGTAAGGATAGTGGTGGTGAAAAAAGCTTATGATTCCATTTTTTCATGGTAAAAGAAAAATTTGGGAAAAGGATCTAGACTTCAATAATAATTACAGAGCACACAGCTGTGTTCATAGCTGAAGATAACATACTTTTGACAGAGCAGCTTGATCCAGAATGCCCAGATAGATCCAGGTAGTTTTGGTTATTTAGTAAAGCAAACCTCCAGTTTATTTTGTTATGTATTAGGGCATCTTTTCCTCATAAGCTTAGCATTACAAGTTTTTCATGCATGTATCGTTGCGGGCCCACAGAGCTGACTCCTACCATCTGGTCTCTGTGAAGATGCGGGCTGCACAGCCTGGAGGTGAGAAAAACTACATATGCTGCTGGAGCTGCCTATTTGGCTACAGAAGACTCTGGTTTTATTAGTCTGCTAGATTTCCTCACGGCTAAATCCAAGCAGCATCAGGACTGAAGGCAGGTAACTTCACTGACGGTGTCGTAGGCCCTCAGTTATGCAGAATGACATCTTTGGTATATTATCTTTTAACTTCAGGTTGACTTTCCAGTTGTTTAAAAGCCAGATGCTTAAAAAGAAAGAAGATGGCATTTCTCTCTTCATGGGGTCACTGGGAGCAGCAGTGTAGGTCACGAGAGCTGCTAATGCCAAAGATGGGCTTGTCAGGGTTCAGTGTGATGTGGCACAGCGGGCCTAGGCTGCCCTTAGTGCTTCTTGTCATCTCTCCCCAGGCCACTGCCAATTAATGCAACTACTAAAAGCAGCAGCCAGCTCTATGCTCCTGTCTGAACTGGGGGAACTCTCTAACCTTTGACCTTGTAATGAAGTGAGCACTTTCCTGAGCAGTGCATTCCTACTCTGTTTCTTGCAAAATGGATGAAATTTAACCTCCCTTCTCTTCCAACAGCTCTCACTTTCTGTGCTGAAGAAAATACCTTCTGAGGTGACTTGAGTGCTGACAGTGAGACTGATGGAAAATCTCCTCTCGGCACTGCTCAAATGAAGCTCTGATATAGTGACAAAAGGAGATGGTCATGGAGCCTAATTTTGCCCTTACTTCTCCTCTATGCAAAACTTGTGTGCTGATGAATTGTGCTTGCAAGTAGTTCAGTAGCTCAAAATTTATTTACAGCTCTATTTTATTATTAATTTAGAATGAAATCTGAATGGTAACAATGACCATCAGGAATGAAGGATGATGATTGTTTTGGTCGTAGTATGATACTGATGATTTGGTTGGATTTGAGAAGGGCAAAGTTGTGGTATCAAGGCTTCAAGAATAATACATAGATATATCTTAAATTTATATTGTAAGGTAACAGTGGCAAGAACTGAAGACTGGAAGAGGGGTCATGAATAAAAAGTATTTGTGTGTAAAGCTATATATATATATATATACGTATGTATGCAAGTGTGTGTATAATTAAACTGTAAATTCATACCTTGTCACAATAAACTTACTATGCAGGAATATGCTGCATAGGTGATTTAAAGCTACATTGGATTTAAACCAGGCCTTTATTATTTTGCCAGTCAATATGCACTTACCAGTAAAAGCCTTTGAGACAGTTAAATGGCAAGTAGTCCCGCAACAGTACCCAAAAATGGAAATTCTTAAAAGCATCAACTTAAAAATTCCCTTTTTTCAGTTTTTAGTAAATATTACAAAAATTCCTAGCTATGGCTTTTCATTTGCACTCTTTGAAAAGCCACATGCTATGGAACTAATGTACAAATAATTTTTTTAAGCCACTTTTTAATGGAAATTTTATACTTTAATTATTGTTGACAGAATTAATACTTCTCACAATCCCATTTTTCACTTGCATTGTATTAACATGTACATATAAGTACATACTTTCTAGATAGATATAGCATCTAGGTACTTCTGCTTGGAACTTTGAGGAGAATGTTGAGAGGGCTGGTGAGTGCTACATGGTTTGAGGTAACCTGCCCAAGATTTTTGCAACTTGTCTATGGTGATACTATCTCATTTTTCTGATTTTAGCATCACAGTCCATTCCCTAGCATTTGCCAGCAATCGGTACTCAAATGAGGTTGACAATCCCTCCTCACAAGACACATACCCTGAGTATCTTTCAAGGAATTGACATTGGACCATGTTTCACATGGCTTTGACAAAATCCCATTTGCGCAGTCCAATAAGAACTCATACATCCCCATCCTCCACGAAACCCATGTAATCCCCCCTACCCACTATTCTTTCTCAGCCCTTCAGACCTCAAAGGTTTGTCCTCCTACTGACCTCTTTGCTGAGGCCTTGAAGCTGCTCCAAGACTTGACCAAATGTGTGTAAGTTACATGCCCAAAACACCTGCATCATAGTCCTCTGATAGGCACGTGTCTGCTCATATGGTGAGAATTTGCATTGGTGCTGGGCAACAAGATGACATGATGGAATGCATGTAGATCTCACTGTGGAGAAGTGTTTCTCCCATTACAAAAAAATTTGGAAGTTGTTCATGCCATGTGATGGGGCAGCCTTCATTCTGGTCATCACGGGGTGCATGTACACACATGGGACAGGGAAAGATAAGGGCATATGGGTCCTAAGTGCCACCCCTAGACTGTGCCTGGTACAGCCTGGTTGGAAGCCAGAGCACAGTTGCTATCACCCATTCATTAGATGACCATTAGGAAGCACAGATTTGTTTAACGCTGAGCTTGACGCCAGGCAAGCGATGGCTTCTCTGTTAATGTCACATTCACATCCTCAGAAAATAACTTTCTTATTATTTGCATTAAAATTGCCCAAAAACTGGACAAGAAGTCGACCATTTCAACTGCAAAGCAACTTACTGCAAGCTTTTGGTACCTGAAGAGACTGACAACGTTAGTGTTATTAGTATTGGATAACGCTGATCAGGCTCTCTAGCGAATAGGGAGGAGAAAGATGAGCCTCAAACACCCGGGCGGAGGGCAGGGCTTCGGAGACCTGGCGAGAAACCAAAGTTTTTGCTGTGGTGGTTTGGCGGTGACAGGGACACCAAGGAGGAGCGGGTCCAGAGGCGGGAGGGTGGCAGCCAGTAAGGGGTTAAGTGCAAGGCTGAGCCCAGGGAGGACGAGTGAAGGGACCGGTGTTTGGCGGGGCCAGCGTTTGGCGTGGCCGGGGCAGGGCCCAGCCCCGCGCTCCCTGCTCTCCTCCGGGCCGCTCCACTGGTTGCGGCCACCGCCAAGGCTTAGTCAGAGGAATGTGGGTGGGACTCCTCTCCTGGCGCCTTAAAAACCAGCTCGGACCGACACGCACCGCAGTCTTCCGTCCCGGCGGAGCTTCTCCCACCGCACCCCACCCCACTCGCGACTCCCGGGCACTCCGGGAGCCCCCCGCCGGCCGGGCAGGATGGTGGCGTGCGGCCTTGCCTGCTGGAGGTGCCGGTGGCTCTTACCCCTGCTGCTGGGCCTGGCCATCATCATGGGCATCATCGCCCTGGCGGGCAGGGGCTGGCTGGAGTCCGAGTCCGAGCCCTACGTGCAGCAAGCATCGCTCTGGGAGAGCTGCACCCGGGGCCTGGAGGACCTCAACTGGAGCTGCGAATCCCTCATGGACTACGGTAAGCGGTGGGGAGCCCCCTGCCCTCCCCTCCGTGGCCCCTGCCACCAGCCACACACGGAGTCTGGGGCTGGGAAGCAGTGGGGGTAGTGGGCGCTCGCCTCATGAACAGTTGCCCCACCTCTGTCACAGTGCAGCTGCTTTCTGGGATGGGGTTCCTTTGCAGAACCAAGACTAACGTTGTTTCAGGACTTAAACCAGCAAAGAAATACAGGTACAGAATGCTTCTGAGCAATCTTGTCTATTGGTACAGCACTGAGAAGCCAGGGTGGTGGTTTTCTTTTAAAAAAAAAAAGTTATTTTACAAGCAAAGTAAGAGAGCCAACTGGCCACAAGACCGTTTGGCTCTCTGGTTTGCTTTCTATCTACTGTGCTGGCAGTCTCGCCTGGCACTGGCCAGCTCCCTGTCACCACACCAGTGGCCTCGCTGGTCAGATGGTGAGCATGGAAACCTTCATGCAGGGCCTCCTATGCAGAGCCACACCTGAGCGGTAGCAAAACTGCCTTCCCTCAGCCCTCTGGAGGGAGAAGGCACCTTAATTTAACCCTGCCTGGCCAAGGAAGCTCAAATTTTCAGATGCCTTCTGACCTGCAGCTTAAAATGGCCTGATGTGGGTTTGTGATGGAAAAAATGCTGTTTCCTGAATTCCTCTCTGTTGCACTGGGTTCTTAATCAGGACATCATTGTGCCTCTGTTTTAACTTGCAGAGCTGCTTTTATATCTGGCACTGCCAGTGTAGTATTCTTACTGCGTGCTCCCAGTTTCTGGTTTTAGGGGGGACTTTTTGGTTGTTTGGTTTTGTTTGGGTTTTTTTTGCTAGAACACGTGGGTCTGAGTACATCTGCTTTTCCCTCAAACAAAATACTTATGGACAAACAAGCAGACCCGCCTTAGGATCCTGGACAAGGGTACTTTGGGGACTGGGAAGCTGGAAGCGTGTGTGTGAGCCGGGGCTGCCACTCCACGCAAATCCCTTGCTGCCTGAGCACGGCAGACTGACATCCAGAAGCTTTTCATTGCAACACTTGAGTGTAAGCTAAATCCTGAATATATTGCAAGAGCAGTAACTCTGTTTGTCAGCCAGGTGATGACTGCAGGTTTTACTGTAGGTGGAAGAAATCTGGCTAGTATGACAAAAATACCCCTCTCCCCTATTCTACAGAGGAGAAAAGCTGGTGCAGAGTTGCTGAAATCTGCATTGCACAGAGAAGTGCTAATACAGTTGAGCTGCTGAAATTGCATTCTCCTGTAGTGACACTGCCTCTCGTGTCCCTGAGCCCCGATGGGTGTGTGCTTTGTGTCAGCCCTGAGCATTGTGGGGCAAACGCAACTTTCTACTGCTTTTTCTAGTTAAGAAAGAAGAAGAAGAAGAGAGAAGAGCAGTAGCCTTGACTTTGCTTATTTAACGCTCAGCTTATTTAAACCAAACTTATTTAAAACTTCGGCTTAGTTATACCAACTTGACTTTGCCTCTTCCCTTATTTTCATGACATCACTGCCACTGTCTAATAAAATACTATTTACATCTGGAGACAGGATGTAACATATGATTTCAGGTTTGATTTACTTTGTTTCCTTTTTTCTATGCTAATGCAATTAGGCTCAAAATAGGCGAGAGCATTTACAAAGGAAAAAATGCCTAGCAGGCATTTACAGCAGTGCTGCAGGAAAATAGAAGTTAACTAATTGAGATGCGTAACTTGTGTTTTGCATACAATAACTCCTATGCACTAACCATCCTGTGCCTCTCTTGATGAAATGAAGACTTCAGAGTGGGTCCCTATTAACAGAAAGCTCCATTAGACAGTTTCTTTACTGCGGCATATGCACTGAGAAGAGGAAGAGAAAAAAACAGGCAAGTCACTAATTTCAAATAGAGAAAAAGGGGCAGGAGCAGACAAACAAAGATTTGCAAATAAGAATGTCTCCTAAACTGCATTGCTTCTTAAGGCACATTTGCAAATGCCACATGAGAGGGAAAAAGAAGAGTAGGATGTCATTTGGTAGAGAGGTGGGGAAGAGATCTTGTTGAGAGCTCTATACTGGTTTGCATCTGGGAAGTGCCTGGCTGCAGCATCTGTGTATTACAGAAATGTTGCAACGCAGAGCTGCTGTACTGCACTATGATATGACTCAAGATGACTTAAGACTGGACCATTGCAGAATTGAGCTGTTGATTGTGTTTAAAGTGTATCTGTAAGCCATCAGATATGACAAGGATTGTTTGCAATGTGGTTACTTGGAGAGGCTGGTTGTCTTTATAGCAATGAGGCCATAATTTTAGGAGCAGTATTTGTGGGTGGCTGTGTCCTCCTGGTTCTGAACGGTTGCTTCCAGCCACTTTGCTTTGAATTATCACTGTAAAAGATGGGCGTGTATGTGTGCAGTCAAGGTGAGCACAGGGAGGTTAACTCTTTCTTATGTTCCTAACAACCAGTTAGGAATTCACTGAGTACACAACAGCTGACCTAGAAAAAGAGAAGTATTCATCTGGATCGGGGGGG